TATAAAGGCAGAATAGTTGAAGATCAGGATGCACACATTTCCTCCAAAGGCAATTTAATACTCTATATATTTTGGTTTAAGAGTAAAATAAGTTATTTGAATCAAGGGCCTAGAAGTCCATGCATCTTGATGAAAATATTTTTACATAACTTAGAAAGTATAAACTGGTCAATGCAAAGACTGTCCAGACTGTAGTTTGTCTTTTCATCTATCTCCACGGTCTGTTCCTTGTTGCACTTCCTGCTGCTTCTCTAAGTCTGTGCTTTTCTCTGAGACGTAGCCCTTTATTTCTCCTAACTCAAGAGAAAAACAGTATTCCATCAGACATGGTGCAGTAGCTCAGACTTGTGTAAGCATTGCATCAGATTTATTGCTGGCTTCATCACTTATCAATAAAACCTGCCTACACACCTTGCTCTGTTTGGACAGCTTCCCTCCAGACATCAGCAACCAAGCTTTACATAGATTCCTGTCTGTATCTGGGGCCTGCGATGTACAATATCACAGTAATGAGGCAGTTTCTCTTTGTTCCAGGGAAACTTGAGCCATAATGTGCCAGACTTACATTCATGCTGATTGTGATAAAGAGCAACACACTTGAACATTTTCTCTTGCTCTTCTTTCTCTCCTCTCATTTTTTCTCCTCTCTCTCTCTCTCTTTCTTTCTTTTAAAGAAACAAGAGTTGGCATGGATTAGAGAAAAATTACATCATCTCAAAGAGAAGGAATGGAAAAGAAAAAAAAATGGGGAAAAAGTGGCAACCAGACCCAAATACATTTGCACATATAAAGCTGTTCTAATGAGAGCCAAATTGATTTGACATTCAGTGGCAGTTTTAAGCCAAGAAAAGCAAAGCAGCCTACAAAAGGCCTAGCTCATTGTTTATGGAGTGTCATAGTCTATCATCTGTGAGACCAGTAACAAGGATGGGAAGACCTTTAAAGGCAAGATATGTTCTGGGAAGGGCTACATAGATACCACCAAACTCAGATCTGATAGACAGATTATATACAGCTTCCTGAGCTGAGTGATGTTTGTCAGATGAGGATGATATTCTCTATAGATTACACATTAGCCAGCAAATTTGTAAGATGTTAGCATTCTTTGGGGATGCATGCTCTGCACAAGAAGGCATATTTTGTGTTCATCTAGGAAAATAATCCTCATAAAAATATTAACCAATAAAAGAGATAAAACCAATAAAATTATATATCATTCAAATAGAATCACATGCATAATAGTATGAAGGCATCATTACCATTACAAATAAAGGATAGTTTCCTTGCAGCAAGCAATATATATTGCACGTATGCACATGTATGCAGTTCAGAGAATGAAGAAAATCATATTAAAATAGACAATCTTTCCATTAATTTTATTTTTCAAGCGAGAAGCTGTATAAATGTTTAGTCATTTCAATACCATTAACTGGCCAGGGATTTACTATTCTGCTGCTCACTGTTTAAAATACCTGGAAAGGAATGAGGTGTTTATTAAATGTCAACACATAATAAGGTAGATTAAATAAGTCTTCCTAGAAATATGTGAAATGCTAGAGTGTTACAATCTGTGCAGAAAGAAAGATTTTATTCCTCTGCACTCAAGCTCAGTCTAGGTATTCCTGTGATATTAGATTCTGTATAAGATTCAGATACTAGTGTTTACTTTTAGACTTCACAAAGGAAAGATGATTTCACTGCACGTTATTGCTGAATAATATAAAACCCAAAATTTCAGCCTCTTTCATCTCAATTTTCTAAACACTCATAGGGCTAAAAATAGAATTTGACCTTAGGTAATTTAGAGATCACTGTATTTCTCCAGTGTAGATTTTATATCACCATAAAACTTTGTGTATATCAGACAAAGAATAAATGCCAAAATGGGGGTTGCATATTAATGCATCATGACTAACCAGAACTGCTATTAATTTAAACATATACATCTTTAATATAAATTCAAAAAGAGAAAAGGGAAGAATTGTTTTTGATAGGAATAATAATAGCACAAGTTGAAATTTTATTATTCACATTTGTCTTGTACAGTTATAAAATCATTTCTTAGTATTCCTTGCTTCTCAATATGCCTTGACTTTTCTTTGTCCCACAATGTGCTGAGTATCAGTGGCCAGGAATACCTGAAGAATTACACTTGAAAAACAACTAGAAAAGTTTATCGAGCCTTCTTCCCATACTTAGCTGTATTCAGATAGTGCAGTACAGAATTTTTATTACACCCTTAAGGAGTATAAACACCATATTCTAAACCAAAACAGAATCCTTTACCCTATATGCTTGTAGGATATAAGCAAAAAATCAAGACAGTGGCCGGCCAGGGAAATAATATTTGACATAGGGTTTCTCCTTGCCTGTCACTACATCATTGAAGTTATCATAGCAAATTAAATTTTAAAAGCATTTAGTGAGCTTACAGTGGCTTGCTGCTGGGATATATAGTTGAAAAACGCTTTAGTCTTACTTTAAGGAATTGTTGCCAAAATTTGCAGATTATCAGACAAAGACAACTCTTACTACCTGAGACCTGAAGTTCACACACCACCCTCTGAGCTAAGGCCATCTGGTGACATAACTATATAACTTGCTGATCAGATGGATGAACATTTCTTAATAGGGATCAGACAGAACTGTAGACTGAAGTAGTCTAAGCAAATGGGTAGGGAGACCTTAAATTAAAACTTAGTCTATCTGTAGGTATGTGGCCAAGGAAAGTAAAGACTTAAAATAATGCTGTAATTAGTTGTATAGTAGTTGTTTTCAAGAGTCATATATATGACTTTCTTTGATAATGTGAAAGAATTTGGTTATTGATGGCCAATTAGAATAAGAATCAAATGATAGAGTTATCATTATATAAAATTTAGTAGAAGAATCTGGCATTGGTGTAGATACCACAGATATCTCATCCAAAAACTAAAGATTCTTCAGGTTCTCTGAAGAGATTTCTGCTCCATTTTTATTTTGAGACATAATTTCTGTGAATAGTAATAACAGTAAAAATGATCAAATTCCTTTATATGTAAATATTTATGACTTTAAGAAACGTTTTAAAGATAACTTGAGTGGAAATAATTAAGGCAGTTTTTGTATGATAGACAGAATAGCAATTAATACAATTAGTATTTCTCAGTCTTCATCATATACGCTGATCTCTTTGGTTTTTTAAATTAAAAATAGCTGAAAGAATCAGTCTACCCTCACCTTAATATATTAGAGTAACCTCCCTAAATTCAAATATTAATAGCTAGGCAACATAAAACTATTTAATTAACCCTCCTGTACCTCAATTTCTTAATCTGTAAAATGGGGATAAGAAAGAGATTCTGTGAGGACTAAACGAGAAAAAAATTGGTAGAAGGCACACACTACATACTGAACTAGTAGTGCTAACAATAATAGATTTTAATTTAATGAATATCCTCAGCAACGTATGTTTTTTACACAGTGCAATGATTTCATTGGATTTGTAGTAAAAGTTTTTTTCAATTATGAAGCCTCTATTTCATCAGTGTTGTAATATTAGAAAGCAAAATATAAAGAATGATGGCAGAAAGTTTGCTGATGATCTCTACTAATTATACACAGTCCTTCACCTCGTGCAGAATTGTTTCTACTTAAGTCACTGTCTTCTACCTCCGTGGGTCTTTGTTGGCATCTGAGTGTGTGGTTTTCCAATCTGCCCAAATCAAGTGTGATCAGTTATCAACATTTTGAAAGCTTTTCATTATGTGTGCTATCATTGCTTGTCCTCACGGGCTTTGTGTTACCTTTCTGTGAGGTTGGCCACTCTATCATTGACTGAATCACTCTAAAACATATTATTGAATGAACATGTGTACTTCTGTGTGCCAGAACCAAAAATATGGGTATACACCTATTTCTTTTCTCATCTTTACAAACTGTCTGGGGGGCCTAAATACAACAATAGTAGCCAGGTACTAGACAGTAGATATTTTTAACCATCCCTGTGTTGCAGATGAGTAGGGGAAGCTTAGAACAGAAAATAAGGATCACGGAGCTATTACATGGCTCAGCCAAGTCTAGTTTCAGATTCTCATGCCCTTAACCCCAGTTGTACTGCCTTTGGGGATTATGTCTATACTGTCAGCTCCCAAGGATCACAAACTTGAGTAGCTGAGCTATAATGGGAATCTCCCAGCAATAACAGACTGACCGCTCTTTTAGAAAAAATAACTAGTGATGGTAATTTGGAGCACAATTCAAGAAGAGTATTGGAGTGTTGTTGTTGTTAATATTATTATTATTATTATTATTATTATTGCTTAATTTCAGTTAATCTGGACTTGAGAACCCATCCATCTTTTTAGTTATTGGGAACATTAGATAAAATGCCTTTATGCTCACTAAATGGTTAGTGAGAAAAATGTGATAAAATGTCCGTTGAAGCACACATATCTTATAAGAAATCTTACTTTCTATTTTAAACTATGAAATATGTTTTATTTGGATATTTCTTGCCATGATCGTTATTATACTTGACGGGGTGCAATGGCCTAAATAAGTTTGTAAAGTAGTACTAGTGAACATCTGTCAAAGTTCTTTTGCCATTGTTTCTTGCCCCATCTCTTCAATTACTGCGCACAGGATACCATGTTTAAAAATTGCAAGTGCAATTATAGAAGTTCTTTGAGTTTTAAATTAATAGATAAAATTAGTACCTAGAAGAGCTAGTTGGGTACTGAATTTCAATTAGCTGAGACCATATCCCCTTCCCAGGTTGAAGAGGAGCATTCTTGTTCACCAAGCCAGAGCAGGTCCATCATTTCTGGCTGGATTACAGGGACATTGATCATCTTTAAATCTCAGATACATGAAATGTTAGTTCTCAAGCAAACAAACCTAGATGGAAGTTCTTAACACTGAGACAAAAAGTGCCTGTGATGAAGCAATATGTTATAAAATCCAGCATCATAACTTATGCACAGGGCTGAGCTCTCAGATCATATTAACACTTGCCTTTTCTCCAGTTCGCGAGAGCCTGTTTTTGCCAGTTTCCAGTTCTATGACAGATTAGATGCAATAAATTAATGGGTGAAGATTGCTATTTGCAGGACATCATTGAGAACACAAAACTGTTCTGATTGGTAGCCTTAGAGAAAGAAGAAATGAAAAAAAATATAAAAACAGACATAACTTGATCCGTACTGTTACCTGGGGTAGTTTAGTGTTGATGCAGACAGCCATGCATGAATCAAGCTCTAAAATATTGCATGGGTCATTAATATATTATAGAAAATATATTTTGTACCTGTGATAATTGCCTTGTGTAAATAGAGTATCACTAAAATGAATTTCTAATACATTTTAAGAAATATTTTCACAAGAGAGCCTTCAAATTTAGTTTTAACTTTAATATTCAAAGTGTAAACACTAAAGTAAGCAGAATACTCAAGCACAGAAAGACTGTTGTGGTTTTATTATGTTTTTTTTTTTTTTTTTGAAGAATAATACTGGTATGCATGAACTGGTCAGTATCATTAACAGCTCCCTCTCCACCCACAAACAAAGCCAAAGGCTTTGTATAACTGCAATTTTAATACATGTTCCAGAAAGTATCTGTAAGCTTCATTTCTTGCCCACCCTTCTAAATCCACTAGCTCTGGCTTGGTGTCCCCAGGCACTCTCCTATTGCTTTGTACCTGTTTTATGTTCTAACGGCCTGTTTAATTCTAACTCTGGATTCAGCCCCACATATAATTCAGAAACTAGTAGATCCATGCTTTAGAATAGTGTTACCTAATAGAAATACAATATGAGCACAATTTCTAAATTTTTAGTGGACACATTTAAAATGTAAAATGAAACAGAGACAATAAACTTTGTTTTGTAACACATTTCTTTAAACTCATTATACTGAAAACAGTGACTATAAAAATATTGAGGCTTTTGCATATTTTATAGCAACTGAATTTGTTATATGTTTTACTCTTGTAGCATATCTCATTTTGGACTAGTACACTTCAAAAGTGCACATGGTTCATGGCTGTCTTATTAGATAGAGCAGTTCTAGAGCCCCGGGGCCATAATTACTGCCAGTTCCCAGAACTTACACCTGGGCGGAACTTCAGATTCTTTGGTAGTCTCGATGAGTATTTGCCACAGTGCATCACAATATTACTCATTAAAGATTCATTAGAGATCCTTTATATAATTCATTGGTATAATTCATTGGTATATATTTATTTTAGAACAACTTTTCCATTTATACATTTCCATCAAAACAGCTGTAAATCCTTTCTGTAAAAGTAGATAAAGAAGATATCAGTATCCCCATTTTCTGTATAAAGAAACTAAGTCTTAGAGAAATTTAATGACTTATTGAAAGTTTCTCAACAAAGCTAATAATTCAATGGAATTTCTGTGATTCTGGTTCCCAGCTCATTCTCTGGTTCCTTGTTACTCTTTAAGGAAACTAGAGGATGTATCTATTCGTGGACTCTTGAAAACAAATTCCTGGAGTGCAGATGTCTGGCCAGCAGTAGCTGTATTTGCTCTTTTGAGCAATAATATCAAATACATGCTGAAACATGCATAATCAATCCATAATATTGAGGATAATAAAAGAAAGTGTGCATGAAATATGTAGGAAAGAGGTTTTTGCTTCATAAGTAAGCAGAAATAACACTTGGGCAATGATTATATCACATTGAGAAACCTCAAAGTGCATGGAAAAGGAAATTCTTTGGGGGTTTGTTTCTTGTTTATTTTTTAGAAATGAAGTGATCTAAAAAGAGAGGAAAAGCTTGTTCAGTTATAGCTTTCATATAATTACCACAAACTCTAATGCAAATTAGACTGGAGGTCTGCTCAATGTACATTTCTGTGCTTGCCAAATTGTGTTTGGCAATGTGGTCAAGCAAGAACAGATGCATACTGGGCCGAGTTTTCTTGGGCTGTTCAATAATTAAGAGGACCATGTATTATAATAAACCACATCCCCTTGGCTAAGATTTGGATGCAAATTGCACACTAATTCACTTCCAAGTTTTTTGGAAACTCACCAAGAGGGATGAAAATCAGGGAAATATACTGTTTACTTCAGGAAATTTGTTTAAAACTACATATGGTTCATTTATAAGAGGCATTGGGGAACTCTACAAGAAATGCAACAATAGCTTTTCTCAGATTCCACTCAGCAGGAATAAGAAAGTGTTAACACGTCCCTTTAAAGATCTTTCCTGTGTTATATGCTAATTATAACTAGTATCTCCTTGGGAAAGCACTGGGAGAGTCCTAAATGGATGATAAACAGCAATTTCCCATATCTATAAAATATCACATTACTAGAATGAAGGCTGAAATCAATGTAGTGAGTAAGATTCTGTTAATATTTTCTCCAACTGACATCGGTGGTAGGATGCCCCTTACATCACTAAATGAATGGGCTGAAATTTTTATTTGCAAAACCAAAACATCCATTGTAATAACAAAAGCCCTTGTATCATTTCAAACAGGATTTCTTAGTAATATAACAATTGAAAAATTATAAAAGTACACTTCAAACCAACCATGCAGAATGAGATACAAAGCAAAATTCTGAAGGGTGAGATCTAAAAGTCCAAACTGCATGACATAGCCACTGTATATTCTCATCACCTTACATTGAGATGCCAGTACCTGCCAGTGTAACTCCTGTTCTTAGGTGCACGGTTTAATTTAATTGTTTTACTATGGGAACCTGCAAGTTTGTTCCTAGTCACTTTCTTTAATTCAATTTTTTATACCATTTGCTTGAGTCCAATATTAACACAATCATTTGCCTGAATCTATGTTTGCCAACACAGGGATGCAATGCCTCAATTCCCCTTCAAATCAGGTATTGTGGCCCAGACAAGGGGACAGCAGCTGGCAGACTAGAATGTCAGATCTTTCAGAATCTGCTTCAAGTACAGAGGGTCACTTTCCCTAAGAGCCTGCCCTTTGGTAACTGAGCAAATGCAATGAGTACCTGAGGATAACTGTGAGAAGCAATGTTTGCTCCTAAACTGCTTAATCCTTCACCTTTCTTTCATAGATGTTTCTCTATAAACACCCCAAATTCCATTATAGAGTCTGCTTCCAGCAACACAGCGTATACCCAAGCTTTAACCAGTGCCCTTCTGTGAACTTTGGACCTATGGCATGAAACCTAGCACTTGACCATGTCTTTTAGTTGTGCCAGCCACTGCAGCCCCTGATTCTGACATCCCTTTCAAAACTTACAGTGAAGCACTCTTTTCAGAAGAGTCTCCAACTCAGGTGCAATCAGTAACCTGGTGACATTCTTTGAGATTTAATGATTATGCAAATGGTGACTACAAATTTCAGCAATGAATTAATAACTGGAATAAGTAATCATTTTTTACCTTTTCATCTTGATAAAATCATGGATTCAAGGAAACCATCATAACATCTTGGATACATTTTACTCAGCTTCCCTCAGAGGTGACATCTTGTATAATTACAGCACATGTGAAACCAAGAAACCAACACTGATACAATCCACTGATCTTACTTAGATTTCACTAGTTTTATCTGTATCCAACTTACATGTTTGTGTATTTATATACTTCCATACAACTTTATTTCTTGTATGGATTTATTTAACCACGACAGGAACAAAGATACAAAACCATTCTAATATAAACATTCCTGGATTCCCTTTGAAGACATAGCAACCACACTTTCAGCTGTGCTCCTTGACCAGTTTAAATTACTAATCTGTTCTCCATTTGGATTACTTTGTCATTTATGCGCATGTATCAACACCACAAAACGAATGCCAACATTATGTAGTGAAAACATGTACAAAAAATGAAAAAAAGGAAGAGGAACAAGGGATGGGTGGAGGAGAAGGGAAGGAGAATTTAAAAAGGAATTTAAGTGTGTATAGAGGTACCAACTTCCCACAAGGAATGGAAACATTAGGTACTACATACCTGAGCTAATAAATGAAAATGATAAAAAGAGAATTATATTAAAAATCATGCAGTAGATCACCTTTTAAGAGCTGTTTTATTGCTTGAGATTCTTCCAAGGCATTGCCTATGCCAGTAGTTATATGTTATGGAGATGTACCATAGCTTGTTCAATTATTCATCTACTGAAGAACACTAGGATTACCTGAAGATTGGGGTTATGAAGATAAAGATGTTCTGAATATTCACACACTGGTTGTAGCATGGATATATATTTTTGTGTCTCTGGAATAAATGGTCAAGAATGTATTTTCTGTGTCATGTGGTAAACACAAGTTTAGCTTTGTAATAAATTGCCACAGTATTTACCTGACTGGTTTTACCATTTTACACTTGCAAAAGGTATACACAAGTGATCCAGTTTTTCTTCACCATCACTGGGAACTACACTTGTCACTGTTTTTTATTTGAGGCATTCTGATAGAAAATACAGTAACTCATTGTCTGAATTCTTCCTTTCCTAGGAGCTAAAGGTGTGGAGTGCTTTTTTATGTGCTCATTGGTCAACTGCATATCCTCTTCATTAAAATGTCTGTTCATATTTTTTGTCCATTTCCTAACTGGATTTTTTTTTTAAGTTAGGTTTTGAAGCTTCTTTCAGAATTCTAGATACAAGTTCTTGTCAGGTATATAATTTGCAAATATTTCTCCACATCCATTGCTTATATTCTTGTCTTTTAACAAATTTTTTGGCAGAGCAAAAGCTTTAAATTTTGATAAGGTCCAGCTGATCAGTTTTCCCTGTTAGACCTTATACTTTTGGTGTCAAGTCTGAGTAATATTTTTTCATTATGACTTTTAAATTTTCGTAAGAATTATTTTTTACTCTACTTCTTAGAAATAAATGAACATGGCCACAAATTCAGTCTAAGAAAACATAAAATCAGTAATTTGTGCTTTTAAAGAACAATCACAACTGATCTTTAAAAGTAAACAGCAGCAAGCTTCACTTATCAAATAAGGATATTGAAAAAGGCTGCCAGGCTGTATAATAATGAATACAATAAAATATTTTATTGCAGAATATTTGATATGACTGATTTCCCCTCAGCTCAGTGAGACTCATGGATAGTTTACAATGGGAATAACTCATAATGCTCCTTTTAAATGAATATTTATTCAACTAATACTTTGAGAAATTACTGGATTTTTGTACATACCTCTTACTCACTTTAATTCAAAATCTCTAATGATGCAGATTTACATGGGCTCTTAAGCCAGTAGGATTTTTTTTACATTTTAGTAGTGTGCTCAGAAGATATACAGTTGTAACTTTCCCTCTAAGTCAGTTCTTAGTTCATTAATAGTAAAGAAGTGACATCTAGCCTACAGTGGGAAAAGATCAGTAATAGGTGTCAAATGATGGACTAATTGACAGCAAAGACAACTTATATGCTATATACTTAATAAACTGTTGAAATGCAAATATTATCAACAGCCAATTAAGTTAAGATAAAGTTAAAAAGAATGATGACATCCAGAAAAGCATTAATAATGCTACACAATATAATTAGACAATAGAATGAAACTAAAATTGAGTATAGATTAATTTAAAGTAATAAGGAATGGTAGGACATTTTAAAACTATTTATAGATATACAGAGTTCTAAAACAATTATAATTACTCAAGAAGAGACATCATTGTGAGTAGATCATCAAAATTGTAAGAATTGCTCTTAAAAGTGAGTGACATCTTTGATGATGGAATAATAAAATAATAAAGGTGAAAGGTATTAACTACATTTCCATTAGAAATTCTAAAGTAAAATTAATATTTCTATCTGCCAAAGACTACTTAATTTCTGCAGGATTTAATAAGAATATACATTTATAAAATAGCTAAAAGAATATTTTCAAAATAGTATTTAATAAACATTTCATAATGGTCTCAAACTCTTTGAAAATAAATTAATTTTGTATAGAAAAATACTTCAAGGGATTTCTGCAAGTAACTGCAACCACGTCATGTGAATATGGCAGCTATGAAGTAGGCACACTGAACCATGCAGACTAGAGAAACAGAGAAAGCCAACTCACAAGTACTGACAAAGAGATACACAGATGACACAGAGGAAAAGAAAAAGAGGGATTAAAGGTTATAAATATATTATTCCTAAGGTTTGATTATATTTTTCCCTTAAATATTGCAATATGCCCTTCTATCCTTAAAATGACTTTTTTCTTTCTTTCTTTCTTTCTTTCTTTCTTTCTTTCTTTCTTTCTTTCTTTCTTTCTTTCTTTCCTTCTCTCTCTCTCTTTCTCGCTTTCTTCCTTCCCTTCTTTTCTTTATGAAAAATTATGATGTCCAGCCATGATAATCAGCAGGTCTTGGATTTCCTCCACTTCCATAAATAATTTAAAATCAACGTTGAAATGAAACAGATACTGAATAATAAGAAGCATTGGACAGTGATCCCAGAGACAATGGAAACAAAACAGTTAATCCCAAGAAGTGTCTTGAGTTCACCACTTGAACTGATTTTCCAGGTCACAGCACAGTGAGGAGAACTAAAGCAAGGACTACAGTGCTGGTATAGGGACAGAATTCAGAGTTTGAAGAGGTCACACTGGCTAGAATTTTGAAAGCAATGTACCAACCAGTGAAAAGGGAAGTTCTTTCTGAGCAAAAGAATGCTGGGAGCTTCAGAAAGAGTCTCCTTGAGTCCTTGGCGGGGTACTAATTTGTACAAGCATACACTTGTACAAATTTGTACAAGAGCACTAGATCACAAGTGAGACCAGGAAAGGAAACACTAGAAAATAAAAAGCAGATCAATCCTTCAAGATCACATTGTTCCATGATGAGGTTCTACTCTCTACCAGAGTAAAAAGTTTTCTTTTTTTTTTGGTTTTTCTCCGGTACCGGGAACCGAACTCACGACCTTGCGCTTGCCAGGCAGGCGCTTTGCCGCTGAGCTAAATCCCCAGCCCCAAAAGTTTTCTTAAATATGGGCACGTGGTAGAGTCTCCACACGGTGTTGCTTCTATAATCAGAACATATTAGCCTAAATTAAAGGATACCTGTATCCTTGCTAACAAAGCTTGAAAAGAAACTTCCAAAGATAAAATTGAGTTCAATTAATTTAACAGTATCCCATAAATGACCTCGCAAGTATTTAAAGGATTTCTGCCCTTAAAATATCCACAAAACAACATATAATTCATAGATGAAGAATCCATTCAAAAATTACTAAACTTATAAGGAAGTGGAAATATGATCCATAATAAAGATAGAAAAATCAATTATTAGAAATGTTACAATGACAAAGATAATAGAATTAAATGAAAGAATGTTTAAATAGCTAAAATAAATATACTCTGTATGCTAAAGACAGTAGACTAAATATGAATATGATGGGAAGAGAATGGGAGATTTAAAATAAAAATTTCTAAGGATGAGAAAGTACATACAACAAAAATTATACCAAATGAGATTAAGAGTAGACTAAGCCTTATATAGGTTAGTGAAGTTGAAAATGCAACAGTGTAAACTATACAAAATGAAACACAGAGAGCAAGTGAAAAGAAGATAAAAACAGCATGAGTAGATCGTGGGAAAATACCAAGAACTCTAAGGATAACTCAAGTCTTGGAAAGGCAGGAGAACAGAAAAATATATTTGAAATAAGAATGACTAAAAAGATTCAATTTTGATGAAAACTATAAATCTCAGAAGCTAAACAAACTGAACCAGTGACAAGTGCTGAAAATTACACAATAGCATACGGAAAAATTAATGTATACTGGGGTCAAAAACTTAATAGCAGTCAGAGGAACAAAAAAACTTATGTAGAATGGAGAAAAGAACATAGCAGGCTTTGCATAGAAAACAATATAAGCCAGGAAATAATGAAAAGTACCTTTAAAGTACAAAAAGAAAATAATTGTCAACCTAAAATTTTATATCAAACAAAAATACCTTTTAAAATCAGAGTTAGTGACATATTTAGATTTATAAAAGCTTTGAGAATTCACTGTAGAAGATAGAAGCTACAGAAAAGTTTAAAGGAAGTCCTTAAGCAAAAGAAAAACTAAACTAGGTGGAAATGTGGAACTTCTAAAAGAAATAAAGATCACAAAAGAGAAACAAGTGAAAAAATGTATTTTAGGTTTATCCTCTTAAAGCAAAAAGTCCACATATTACGAGGCTTATAAAGTTGGAAGTAAAGTTTATAACCAGAATATAATAGCACAAAGGCAGGAGGAACAAGATGGATATAAAAGATTGTAAGTTTCTCATATCATAAGTGAAATTATACCATAATATTTAATAGAGACTGTGATAAATGAAGTATATAATATAAATTTATAATAATTATAAAAATATAAAATAAAAGGAAGAGATAAATAAATTGAGATAAGATAAATTAATCTAAACTTGTAAAACAAATTAAACTGAGGTAAGCAGAAGCAATGGCATAATAAAGACGAGAGTAGAGGTCAATGAAAGAAAAAACGTTAGAGGATATCAAAAGCTGCTTTTTGGCAAAGGGCAAATGACATTTAAAAATCTCAAATCAAAGGATCAAGAAGAAGAAAGATATAAATGATCAGCATTGTTAATAAGAGGATTTTACTTTATATCTTATAGTCATTAAGAGAGTAAAAGAATACTTTCATAAAATGTATGCTAACTTACTCAAATTAGGATATTTCTTTGAAGGCCATAAATCACTAAAACTTTCTCAAGTAAAATAGGTAAGCTCAATATTCCTCTCTTAATTACAGAAAATGAATTTGTAGTTTAAATTTTTCCTATAAAGAAAACATCAGGCCCAGAGGGCTTTAGTAGTAAATTCTACTAAGTATGTAAAAAAGAAAGGAAGTCAATTCTATATAAACTCTTCCTAAGTATAAGTGAATGCTTTTCAGACAAACGAAACAATTATTACCTTGATATAACAAGCAGAAAAAGAAATTACAAGAATGTCTACCTTTACTACATTTATTTAGTTTCTTAGTGGAGATCCTAGTCAGAGCAGTAAGGTAAGAAAAGGAAATAAAAGGCATATACATTGAAAAAAATAAATAAATATGTTCATATACGCATATAATATTGCCATGTTTACTGAAAAACCTAAGGAATCTACAAAACAGGTATGGAGATAATATGTGAGTTTAGCAAAGTTACAAGATAAAAACAATAAGCAAAAAAAGACTATACTTCTATATATAAGCTGAATATTTCTATTCCAAAAATGCAAAATTTATAATGCTCCAAAATTTTGAACACTGGACACAAGTAGAAAATTCTTCACTAACCTGACTTCAGGACACAGTCAGAACTCATGTACACTAAAAATATTATTACTTTTAGGTTATATGTGTAAAGAGTATGTAAAATGTAAGTGAATTTCTTGTTTAGGTCTGGACTCCATCCCTATCATATCTCATGTATATAAAAATAATTCACAGTTTTAAAAACTTCTGGTCCTAAGCTTTTTAAATGAGATACTATAATAGCAAAATATAAAACTGCATTAGGCAATTTCTTAAAAACTTATAAATCACATAACATAAAACTCAGACATTTCACTTTTAGGTATTTACCCAAGAAAATCATAAGCATATGCCTACAGAAAGATACTTATGTAAATGCTTTTAACAGCTTTACTTATAATAGTTATAAGCTAGAAATGACCCAATTCCACCAGTGAGAAAAGAAGAAACAAATCTTAAAGTATCCATACAGTATATGGATACAATTTTTGTACCTCATGCATACAATTTTTGTACCTCAATTATTCAGTACATTTATGAAAATAAAAGAACTGAGAAAATAAAGTATTTCAGTAAAAATAGAATCAAAATACAAAATATTCAGGAATGAATTTAATAAATATGTTTAAGACCTTTACATTAAAAATTATAAAATATCATTAAAAGAAATTAAAAATACCTTAAATAATTACATTTAGAAAAATCATTATTCTTGCTATCACAACTTTTCCTAAATTAATCTGTATCCCATTCAAAATCTGATAGGTTTTGATTTTTTCAAAAATTGACAAATCAATTCTAAAATGTATATGGAAATGCAAAAGACATAAAATGTCCAAATTAATTTTACAAAAATATGAAGAAGATTAATGATAAACACTACCTGATTGTAAGGCATCTTGTAAAGATTTTAAGGCACTATTTAATGAAAATATTGGTATAAAATAGAACATAAATTCTGCAGTAGGCCCACACATACTATCTATTGATATTTGATAAATGTAGTAAAACAATTCAGTGTGGAAAATTGAATTCCAGTGTGCTAGGACAAAAGGATATTGAGAGTTAATATGCAAAAAAAGAGACTATAACCCTGAACCTTTACTTTTACATACAAAAATCAACTGAAAAGGGTCACAGACTTAAATGTAAAAGCAATAACTTTAAAGTTCTAAAAGCAAACTGATTTTTTTACTTTATATCAGGCATGATTACATAAAGAAGATTCAAATAGTCTAAGTATTACAAAGTTAATAAATCATACTTTATTAACAGTTAAAACTCTTCTTAAAACAAGACTACATAAGTACAAGTTGTATTTTACTCCAGACTTACAAAACCAGAATCCGCAGGGACTGATCTCCACGTGTCATTCTAAATTATTACTAATGAGAATTACTACTTATATTCTTAAAAATAAGAACTGGGAATTTCATTAGACTGTAAAAATGCCCTTCTTATAGGTCCAATGAATAGTCATAAGGAGAAACAGAAGACAAACAGTTTTCTACAGAAAATAAGATAATTAGACCAAGCACCTGTAATCCCAGCACTTGGGAGGCTGAGGCAGGAGGATCGTTGCAAGTGCAAGACCAGCC